GCACGTGAGGAAAACGTGCGTCTAGAGTCTGAAACGTGAGCACTGGGCTTCTCGTGTGCTAGCGCACCTCCTCGCTTTGACACGGAAGGCAAACAGTTGTCCAAGTACGGACGTCTCGATTGCCATTGCGCCAAACGAATTGTGCAGTTACGAGTTTAACCGATGCACGAATGTCTGGATGTGACAAATCGTGCAACGACTTGAACATGGTATGCCGAAATTCGTGTGGGACGACTGGACATACCTTGCCCAAGGATAAATCGCAAAGTATAATTCCATCCGATGATGTCAGCCGAACGTGTCGTGTGTCCAGTGAAGGAGACTTGCGTAGTAAGATCAACTTCAGGATCGTTGAGCTGCGCTGTGGCCAAGGCTGTTAAGTCGATAGCGGTGCCGGCGTCCGCGCAGATAGCTTAGATGTGGGAAGTTCATCTGCCACGGCGTCGTGCACACCTGAGACATGCCGTATATCGGTCGTAAACTGAGCAATATATTCAAAATGGCGCGACTCTCTTGGAGAATATCGGTCAGTAGTCGAACTGAGCACGGAAGTCAGAGTTTTGTGGTGGGTGATTACGGCAAAGGAGCGGCCTTCTAATACGTGTCCAAAGTGTCGTATCGCTTAATATGTGGCTAGTAATCCTCTAACAAACGTACTGTAGCGGAATTCGGTAGGTTGTAGGCGTTTTGAGGAAAACGCTAAATGCCGTCAGCGTCGGCTACTTTTTGCTGCAAAACTGCGCTGACCGTCACGTCCGAGGCGTCAGTACTGAGGGACATTAGGGCTGCCAGAGCGCGACGTGCTATAGGAACTATGTTTGCGATAGCCTCATGCAGCTATTTAAAAACTGCAGCAGAAACTTCAAATTTCTTGAGTTTCCCACGGAGAAGGTCCGTGAGAGGTTGCATCAGCGACCTGCATTTTGTATGAATCACCGGTAAAAATTGCCAAGCGTATCAATACGCTTAAGCTGCCAGAAAGAAGGTGGCATGGGTTAGTTGTTGATGGCTTGAATTTTATCTTGGTGGCACGAGATCTGCAGAGGAGAAACGGTGACCCAGTAAGTTGACTGAGTCGACACCAAACGAACACTTTACGGCGTTGATCGTCACCCGTGGTAAGATAACCAATCAAAAAGTGTTCGTACATGGCGCAGGTGGTCTTCTTGTAAAGATCTCACAATAAAAATGTCGTCGAGATAAGCGTAAGCGAAGTCTAAGCTAAGACAAACTTGGTCCATGAAGCGCTGAGAAGTTTGCGCAGCATTCTTTAGACCTAATGGCCCCCGCGGGATTTCGAAAAAACCAAATGGAGTTGTCACGGCAGTTTTAGCTGGGTCCGCTTCGGCTACCGGAATTTGGTTATATGCGCAAACCTGGTCGATTTTGCTGAAGCTATTGTTACCCGCCAGGCTGAAGGCGAGATCCACTATGTGTGTGATCAGATAGCGATCAGACTTGGTGACCGTATTCAAGGTTCAATAGTCGCCGCAAGGACGCCAATTCCACATGACATTCTTCTGGACCATGTGCAATGGCGACGCCCATAGGCTTTTGGACAGTCTGACCATACCGTGCTGAAGCATGTGGTCGCATTCAGCTGATGCTGCACGTAGGTTGTCGTGAGCAAGCCATCTTGGTCGTGCGCTAACTGGTTGACCGCGCTTGACTATGTGGTGAGCGACCTCTGTCGTGACTGACAGAAGCTCTGCAGCCGGTCGAACCAGTCGCGGGTATTCTGAGAAAAGGCTTAAGTAGTCGGACTGTGCGTCTACGGTCTGGACGACAGGACTGATTATCGAGGCACCTGAAAGGTGAAACTCGATACCGATAACTGCGAAGGATACAGACGCAACCATGAAGGCCCACTGAAACGCTCGGCGAAGATGGTGGTCCAGGTCCATCAAGCGCTGGCCGAACGAAGCTATCAGAAAACCTTTGGCCGCAAGCAGGTTGTACCTAGGCTCTGAGTGCTTGTCGTTCGCATTCGCAGGGATGCCGCTGACTGCCGCTTCCTTCTCGACGAGGAACATGATAAAAGAACGTCGATCCTTAACATAAAGCAAGCGATTACTTTGGTTATTGAGGGATATGTTGGTGGTGCTAGTATGCGGGCTCGTCGCTTTCCCGACAATGTCTACCTCTTCCACCATATTGGCGGTGCTACCAACATACTTCTTCGGCGGTTATTTTATTAGCTGACTGAGTACGTGCAGGGAAAATGTTGCGCTTTCGTGCTGCACTAGACGTACCCGGTGTAGGCACAGACGAGCCGCAATGAACGGTAGCCAAAACGTGGTCAACATTTGACCGTGGTACACGCTGCCTCGAAGCATCCATTGCCGTTATCACGCCGCGAAATAGCGCCATTTTCTCGTCTTTAGGTTCGGACCGGCCTGCCGACTTGGAGCAAATATGAAACTCGGCTTTTATTGGTCAGAATACGTCACCGGAGCTACTGGTCGTCAGCTGCGGAAAACGTTCGAACAAAGAGTATGCCTTGGTAGTTAGTTTTTCCTGGGGCGTGTCGAGAAACATGGATGGCATTACCGGCAACGGCTCTGGGAGACGCGCAAAGTATAATTCCTGTATCCCTTCCTTGAACAAGAATAAGGGACCAGCGATCCTCTGAATTTCGCGGAGTAACGCCGATGACTTGCGATCTACCAGCTTGAGACCATTGAGAAGTTCAAATCGAGCTCGTGCGCTGGGCTGTCACCCATTTATAATCGCTAGCCCCATAGTATCATACTTTGCCTCATTCGATGAGCAGCATAGACTGTCCTCAACCAGCGCCACAATTGACGAAGGAAAGTGTAGGACGAGTTGATTGTACCTCGGACGGTACGCCGCAAAGTCTTTATTTTCCAGTTCAAGCTCGAATATGGTAAACCAAACCTCTGGGCTGTTTTCCATGAAATGTGGAATTGCGAAACTAGGCTTGTTTACGCTGCGATATGACTCAGAATCGAAAAGCTAAAGGAGGAGCGTAAACCCGATGAACGTACTAAAAGTACGCACGAAACAAATGAATACAAGTTTATTCGATTTAAACTTGTATTAATTTATTTCGTGCGTACTTTTAGTACGTTCATCGGGTTTACGTTCATCCTTTACCTTCTCGATTCTGAGTCGTATCGCAACGTAAACAAACTTAGTTTGGCAATTCCACATTTCATGGAAAACAGCCCAGAGGTTTGGTTTACCGTATTCGAGCTTGAACTGGAAAATAAGGACTTTGCGGCGGACAGTCCGAGGTACCAGGAAGAATAATGTACAGTTGGTGAACAATTAACTAGTATATAAACGATGGCAATTCTCTTTTCGTGCGCTACAAACTACCAATTGCGATGCCTTCAGAAAGGCTTGCATAACTGTTGGTTTGGTTGTCCCTAGCAGTATTGTAAGCTTACTGCCGTTTGTCAGAACTCGTAGTCTATGATGCAGAATGGTAAACTGGTTATAATTTAACTTGCTTCCATTCATTTGCAGAATATTGATCAGCAACTCAGACGTCCAAGTCCACGCGGCTGTGGTTTACATGTCGGTAAATGAAACATGACGCTCGGTAGGCAGGATGCTATTTCGTCCTTAGCATCTGACCTGAACAGGTGGTTAAATAAACAACCGCCTTTAATGGCTGTGTATTAGGCGTTTATTTGCTATGACGAACGGAACCTTCATCAAAATGTTGGTTTAAATCTCATCGCGTTCTTGCGTCAACTGAGTGTCCTTTGCTTGTAGAACCCCATTTGTGAGACTCGTTGGTGATGGCCGTAGCCATAAAAACTTGCTTTTTGAGCGTAGATACAGTTTGGTTGCACAACATTGGTTTTGTTTGAAGCTTGTCTTGTGCAGATGGACAGCATTGTTGTTGAACCCAGAAAAAGTGTTTTGAATGAAGAAAAAAGATAATTGTTGAAAAGTGGAACGAAGTGTTAGTGCTTTAATATACTATTCATATGAAATCATGGTTTACAACATGTACCCATAAGCAAGGTTGGCAATAGGGCACACAAATATCTACTCAAATTGTATCAGAGGAAAAATGTATTGATAATACAGGGCCGTATATATACAAAAAGTAATAGAAAATTTTACGGCATGTGCCTGGTTGTTACATATATTTGTAATACAGAAGTACGCCATAGGTGCATTACTTCGACGTTGTACAACCAGACAGACTCTCCAAACACACGACCCTTTCCATAATAGGACCCCGATGACCGTCGGGTAATTTCGTGTGCCTTCCGTGGTTATTCTTGTGCCATGCTCTATCGCACTGGTGATTTACTTACAGCGTTCTCTAGCCTACCCCAAACCCGTGCATGCACCGAGGAAGTGCGTAACGTAACAGAATTGCAAAGCCCGTTTAAACACATTCAAGGCAATAATGCAGACATTTGGAATAGCAATTTGGGTGATTCTGAATGCAGTGCATCTATTTTCACCTTAAGGGCGTGCCATGTTTTGATTGCCTAAAAGTGCCCTTGAGCTTACTGTTTCTACACCTAATTTTGGCGCTATTTTGGACAGTAGTATTCTGGTCAAAGGGAGCGAGTTGACGTACGATCAAGTTCGGCTATTTTGGAATAACGTGTTGTGGAATACCTGAAGTGTTGTTGTTCATTTACTTGAGTAAATGCTTATTTAACAAATACGATAAAATAAGATTTATCAAATAAGATAACTTTGCTTACAATAACTTAACGAACATTTTGCATATCTCGTTATTTTCAAGGTTTCGGGAATGTCGCAATCAATAAACGCATTTATAGTAACGAGTACCTTAAATCTATGTGGTTATTTTTGTTTATTAACTGATCTTTTGGTAGGATGCAACATTGTGTTACGCTAATAGATGAAAGCTAAAGATGGAAGCCCAAAATTATGAAGAAAAATATTTTATCCGCACAACTCACGTCCGGCGCACAATCGCTTACCCAAATTGCTATTGCAGTCAAGTTTCTTTTGTATCTTTTAATATTTATACCAGCTGGAAACATTTTAAGTAGCGTGATATTCGCAGTTGTTTGGAGAATCATCACTATCACTTAATTCATAGGAGCACAGTACCTTAGGTTAATGTCCGTTTTTATAAGCAAGAGACTGAAAACCTTGTGTAATGAGGTCACTAACTTCGACTGGAATCATTCAGCTTCTCTTCTCGCTGTCACATCGATTAGCCATGCGAGTAACGGCGATGCTTTTGTTATCGATGCAATGGTAAATACATTACACACACTTAACTTTTTCTCAGAGCCAGAGCGTTATCATGTCTGTTTCAAGACCATGCACTCCATCAAAAATTGCCTGGCATCCACTGTCTAATCTGTTAGCCGTTGGGTGGTCCTCTGGCACCCTTTCGTTTTTGCACGTAGCCAGTAAAAATTGTATCGACACGGAAAAGCTGTCTTCATTCGAAGTAACTTGCGTGCTCTGGTCTAATAATGGAACCTGCTTGCTTGCGACTGATGCGGCTGGATTCGCGTATCTCTGGCTGCATACGTCGTTGAGTGACACACAGCCGTTTCCTTATGCAACAATAACCCTAGGTTCAAGCTGTATATGCGCCATCCTGTTGACTTTGAGTAGACCCATTCAAAATGATCTGTAAGTCATGAACACAAAAGTGACAATCTTTGTCTCAGGAGCTTGAATACAACGGACACGAGTGAATTCATCGGCACAGGGGAGCAGATTACGATCAACTTAAATTCAACAGATACACTTCTCGGTTCACCGTCAAAGGCTGAATCCCCATGCTTTATTTTAGGGTGCAAAGACGGTAAATAGCCTAATTGTTATAATTTAGTATGTTTAGGACGAGTTCTTAGGATTTCCGGCGAAACTTCTCAAAGTGGGACCATTTGCCAATCTTCTTCTAGTCGACTGAGCACACTATTTACTTGCGAGGGCAGTATTCTTCTTATAAGCTGTCAATGCGAGAGTGGAAACCTAGCCGCTATAACAGATAAAGGAATACTTTATCATTTTCATATTGCGTCAACGAACGGCACTGAGTCAAATGAATTAGCAAAGGTAACTTTCGCACCATATGTTAATGCTTTTGACCACATATTAATACTTAATGTACAGTACCGTATACAAACCATATTCTCTTTTGCTTTACTCACATAAATTCTATTTATCTTCGTTTTCACAATAAATTGCACAGCGCTTAGAAGAATGCCTGGTTTATGGTTACCATTGGTACGTATTTTTGTAGATGCTATTATTGCATTTCTACTTTTATTTAAACCTAGCTTAATTGTGTTGCTAGTTGTTTAATTGCGGTACGCTTATGCATGGTGTTAGGAAACCGCTTCGATGCTGCAGGATGGGACTTTTGAGTTTATGCGGATATCCCTAACTTAACCAGTGGCGCTCAGTCACAGTATGTTCAGGCTGATGGGTGGGGGAATCTAGCGATTTATAATTTTGCCTGCTATTGATTTGTAGCTACTTTAATGGTAGGTATTTTGTTCAGAGCCTCTGAATCAGAACGGTAGCCCTTTCGCGTCTATAATTTGGAATACTGAGAGTATCTGAGTCCTTACACATCAAGTTTACTCGCGCTACTATTCAGCTCATCCTATATCGTTTGCCCTGCAGTTCTAAAGGGTTGATTTGCTTGCGATACATACTAATTTGAGTGCTTTAAGCTAATCAACATAGATGTGTTTATTCTGTTAATAAAAATGCCTATCGTACTCTTCTGCTCATTAATGCTGATTTTATACCCTTTGACTGCTTTACCGGATGGCGGTCGTAATATCGGATTGATGTCGCCGCAGAACCTCGGCGATACTTGCATCAGCAATTTTTGTCCCCATTGTTACAACATCTTAGCTACGCTTATCCTATCTGTCCAAAAGCAGCTTTGTCCTCGGGAGTTAATTAAACATACTGTTAATGCCCACCGTTTTATTTGTCCTACTTATCCAGACCGGCCTATATCTAATTTGTTGAGGGAGAACTGGGTCTTAGTTTGTCATGATAGGTCGCTTAATTTGAAAAGTATTAGTATTAGGTTATGCTTGATTGCAATTTTAGGAACCATTGGAATCACATGCATTAAATAATACTACTGCTGCTAATCCAAAAATGACGACCTCCACACCCGCTCCAATACTAGATAATGTTGATAACTGATCTGCTTCATAACCTTATATTTTCTGTGATCTTTGGCCTAATCTCTGATTGTACATAGCCCAAGAACTATCGGCTGTATCTAGCGCCGGCAGTTGGCAGATGTCGTTAAACTACCCCACTTCCTTTTGAAGTCAGGCAGTTCATGCTAAATAAACTGTGGAACCACCTTGACTTAAGTGCGACTGGTCTTTGTATCCTTGAAAAATGATGCATTTTACATCTAAAATTCAGCTACGGGTTCTCAAAGACTGCGTATGGTCAGTCCCAACTACATTTTGAGGTACATTTTATTCGTAATTGCAAGTATTATTTGATCTCTTCTGTATCATTAGTCAGACTATCATGTTAAGGATTAGGGGATGAAGAAGTTTATTAGGTGTGCTTTGAACTTTAAATCTGAGGATTATTATCCACAAATATGACGCTATTCCGTCGTCATCCTTTTCATTCCTTCGCTGAGCGCTAGTCACCTTCCGTGCTGTTGCCCGACAGAGCGGTTTCTCTGAATGTTAGTTACCTCATTTGCTTCTGCCGATAGCGCACTTGGTATGATATATAAGGAGTGATCTATGTACTTGTCAGAAGCTTGACTTAAAAACCCTGATACCACCGTGCGAAGTGCTCAGATTGCATATCAAGCGCTGCTTACCCCTTATCTTTTAGTTGAAATTAAGGCCTAGTAGACAAAAGAGAAAAAAGATAAATTGGAGTGAAGTGCCTGCAAATAATTTAAAGTCTTCTATCTTAGATGCGTCTTTGATCCCACTTACACACCACTACTTAAGACAGGGATTTTATGGGCACTCTTGCGCGAAATAAAGAAGATAATGCTTGCCTTGCTAGAAACAGTACCTACGAAGGGTGCCCTTGCTTTTTATCACGGCTGTGTTGCGTTTTATGGGTTTAGTTTGAATGTTACGCGGTTAATTTATAGAGTACATCTAATGTTTGCTTTAATAAGCTCACGCACATTATCCAGCAGATCTTTTGCTGTTGGTTTTGTTTTAATGTCCGCGCTTTTCCCCGAATAAAGACTTTTTGTGAGGAATCGGCTTATATTTTAAACAAATATGACGCGAATTGACAATTTCTACCCACCTCGTTGGACCTTACACGTCAACGATGCGCATAGCGGATGGCTTTAAATTTCTCGCCGACAGCTCTGTCTTCGTTCCGATTCATGTGCTGGCAAATCTGTTGTTTTCTGTTCTTTTTCAAAGGATTGCTCAAAGTGGCATTTTGCATAAGGAGAGGCAAGTCGTTTCCCCCACACACACACTCGCACACACCATACGCGTTAGTTAGAGGTGACAAGCGCTTCAGTTACTGTGCCGCAAGTAGTCGACTTGGAAAAAGACGCTTTTTACATCTAGACCGCAACAGTCGAAGTTTGATCCCATCATTTTTGTTGGGCGTGGGGTAACTTATGTCCGCCCCCCATACCTAACTCTAATCTTTGGTTCGATGTCGCCAATCTTTATATGATTTAAGTGTTCTGTACTTATTCAGGCTTGCGTGCCGCCAAATGTCTTTCATAGCCTCTAAGCATTGCTTTTATGTAGTGCTATTCCGCCGGTGTTTTCCTGTGGCTGCTTTTGGATTTTATGAGCGAATTTGTCTGTACTGAATGTCTTTTGTCTCCCGTATACTTCCAGAAGATGTTACTGTGATATACGTAAAGGTTTTATATAACCTTAATCAAACAACGGAACTTCTTGAGCAAACTCTACCGTGAGACGTTATTCTTTCACTCACTACTTCACTGTTTTCATCTGATCGTCGTATTCTACAAAACTTTTAGCATCACTAAATTTCTATCTAAGTAGGTTAAACCGACTCTCCACTATCATACGACTAAAATGCTTTGGTGGGTGAAGAAAAATAAGCGGTGGAATGATGGTGACGGCAGAAGCTACACTCTGGATGGCAAACCGCTACATCCCACGCCTTTATGAATGACCTAGTTGTACTTTTCACTACGAGTTGAAGCTCGTGAATAACATGCATGGACTTCATTGTAAAGGACTGTGAATGCGCTGTGCGCTCAAACACAGCTCCTGTACTTTGTCTGAGGTGATTGTCACTGGTATTTCTTCTACATCATAAGCCCAAACTAGACTACTTCTCACCAACAGGCCAAGCAATTAATTGCTGCGAAGAACAGAACATTAAAAAAGGCAACACTTTGCTAACAAGCTGATTTCGAGGTTACAAGTGTTACTGGACGGATAGACGATGCGAAAAGCTACGACTCTATACCTTGCCCTGTCTTTGGTCTCGAGTCGATCTCATCGTGACTTACCACATGTTACATCTCGGTAACTTGTCCGTGTTTAGCCCATTATTTCAGTTTCCAACGCCATGTATCACACGTGGACGTCGACAGAAGCGGGTTTTTCACCCATTAACTTCAAACGGATAGTGGTAAATGTTGGGAACAGTTTGCCAGCAAGTATCATGTGGAACAAATCTGGGCAGCAGTTCAAACTTTGCTGCAGTTGAATTTCACAACACATAAAATGACATCACTTTGATGGTTGGGCCACTTGTTGCGCATGCTAACCCAACGACTTCCGCGACATGCGTTGTTTGCGCACCGGGTGTATACCTGGACGAAAAAGAGAAGTGACCAAGCTACGTCTTCATCAAGAAGAATGAGGGCCTTACTTTGAAGTTGGCCTTGTTTGAAGCCTCTCGGCACCCTAGTTTGGGTACGAAAGACAATAAACACGTTTGGCTAAATACATTTGTTAGTATGGTTAGGAGCCAACCTCAGTGGCGTTTGTGTTGTGAGTTTCTTTGTCCTAGCCCCTCCCTTTTAACTTCCCATCCAACCACGATCTCATATACTGGACATAATGTAACTGTTCTTTTTTGTTGCACAATAGCCGGCTGTTCGATCTCCAGAACAATGTCCATTCCTTAACGGTTACTCAGCTGGCTTGCCTTTGTTGCATTTGTTCTTTTTTCCTAATGCGTTCCGGCACGATATGTGAGGTGCTTTCCACCACTAGCTGACGTGTATGATAACGATGATGATGCAATGACATCTTGTTTGTGAGCTTAGTGATATTGTAAGTCAGAACGTTTGAAATACTACGTAAGAACCCATAGAATGACCAGGATATCAACCGGTGACAGGTACTTTATACAACATTTTGGATCATGTTCGATAAAGTTGTACAGATTATAATTGCTGCTTGAGCTCACAATCCAGTGTTCAGTGCGAAGCACAATGTTTTAATTAAAGTTTCAGTTGCAACCTAAGTGCGTTTTCTTAACGAAACACGATCACAGCCATAAGTTATCTTGTAAAGGAAAGATATTATAAACGACCTGGTTGGGTTTTGACTGTCTTTGTCGGAACGGCCAAACTCTTCACTCGTTGTTTCTCACGCAGAGAGTAGCCTCGACGATTCGTATTGGAACGGTTAGTGGACTTAGCCGGCAGACGAACACTCGCAACTAATAAGGCATACGAAACGCGTAACGCCGCACAACTGTACCGAGACCCGTAGAAAGAAGACTTAGCAATAGTAAGAGTGCTTTACTGACTCAGCCAAGGCAACCGTGCTCTCTACACTTTCATATTTTTCGTTCGTTAAAACAGTAGCAATTGTATAAACTATAAGGAAACACTTATGTTTGTTGGCCTATGCGTTGCCATGTAGTGTTCCTGTCTCCGGGCAGAGGTGGGGTGGGTTCGATGCTGTTGAGAGGTTTGGCACAGCACAGTTGTATAGTGCGCTCTGTGGCCAAGGCATATGCATGAACAAGACTCAGAAGACAGACGGTTGACTTGTTTAGAGTCCGGGTGATACAATAGTGAAACGGTGGCGAGTTCTGTAGAAACTGCGGAATGTATTGGACATGTACTTACTGAGGAC